CGAGGCTGGATACACCTAGAGAGTTAAAACTTTCCATCGTAAATTAAACTACATTCGGTGCCGAGTCACGAGCCGACTTCCGTTTTCCTTTTCTCGTGCCCAGATCGGTTTATGGCACTCCGAATCAATTTCGATCTCACCCGAGAAACTGGTCACGATCGTTAATGACGTTTTTTTGTTGCTAGTTCGCAACGTAAATCGAACATGTTTGTCGTTTTCAAAAATTCGATAGAATAAAAAAACGAAATCGATAATAACGCTGTTATTTATGACTCGATCCTATATATTCACCGACAACATTATCTGGCGTATAACAATTTAAAATCGATCTAAATACAAGCGAAGTAGCTTTGGCTGATTATACGACCAGATAAAACTTTCCGTTCGTACTCGTAGATATTCGAATTTGACCGATGGGTCAAAAATTTTTCCTATTCTTGCGAATTTTTTATGTTTGTATTAATAATATTTGTTATATTAATGAATTTTGGAATTGATTTCAATTATGCGCGCAGAGATGCATATTTCCAAAAGAAAATTCCACCGTTAACACGTTGAGTTCTACAGTGAAAAGGGCAGTACGTAACCAGACACGCCTTATTTCGATTTTTAACCCTCCAATGGTAAGGTCCGAGTCATATCCGACTCAAGTTATAGTTTCTCTTGTGCTGTCCCCACTCTATTTATTATTTTTTTTATTACTCTCGTTTGACAACACGTTTTATTATTTAGTAAATAAATAAACTTTACTTATTATATAAATAAACGAAAATACAAGTTAGTATAACAAAGCAATTAGTCGAACTTACCAAGTACGACCTGAAGTTGTAGAAAAAAAAATATATCGTCATTTTTAATTGTTTAAACATGGAAATTTTTATTTTTATAATTATATCTATATTTAATTGTCGAACAATTATTTAATCTCATTAACTGTTTAAAACTCAGAAAGACACCCTTAGATACTGCTACTTTTCACTGTGTACTATTCGAATAAAAATTCTGCCCAACTTTATTCGTCGGTTACGCTGTACACCTACCTGAGGATCGTGAACGGCGCAACAAGTGTTACAGTACCGCGTGGCTCGTACGATCCACGTACACGGTGATGGACGATCGTTTCGCAGGCCGTTTAATATTAATTGGAACAACCTTCGCGCGATCATCGTCATCGACCGCTTTCAACGATTAGATTGAGCCGTGGGATGTGATTTCGAGCATGTCGTGCGGTGGCACACTGCGCTATTTAATCCACGCACCACGTATGACGAAAGAGAGAGAGAGAGAGAGAAAGAGAGGTTAGGTGCTCCGCGTCACTTCGATTAGAATTTATGAGACCATCTCCTGTGCAGTGAGAAACATTCAACGATCCTTGCATAGAGAACGATAATCACTAGACTGCGGATCTTTATGCAAAATAAAATTTTATACAGGAATTTACAAAGGCAGAATTAAAAAAAAAAGACTTCTTTTGCCTCCTAGGAAGTTTATTGCGTTAAGAATAAAATGAGAAATATATTAAACCTGATGTAAGTTCTATCGTCTATTGCATTTCACATACTCCTTTATGCTATGAATGCATAAACATCCGCAGTCTAGTCACGACCGTAAAAGTCACGATTCACTGTCACGTGGAAACGCACCTTTACAGCATCTGGAGACCGTGTTACGTAATCACGGAAAGAAGGATCGTTCCCATGTAGGCGAACCGATGTCGCGAGAGAGACCGAGAATACGTATCGTGTTGTCGGGTGAGTCATGTGTACGCGCGCGGCGACCGTTCGACCAAGGACCCCAACGGTGAATCTTGTTTAGCCGTTGGACTTCGTGTCACGATTAAGGACACGTCGGGCCGTTTTGTCCCCGTAATTAATTCGTCAGCTGATCGAAACCCAGCTTTCGTTAACATCTCCCACACGGCTGTGTAACTTCGAAACGCTACAAGAGCTTCCTTACGGTTAACCATCTCAGACCCAGTGCACATTGAAACGTTCATTAATTTTAACGTCTGTTCTGAGGCGATTTTGTTTTATTTTCACCGGGACCTATCATAGTGCACATCTGTCTACTGCTTGCAGTGTTAAAAAAAAATTTATTTCTACCTCCTTGCTGTCGTAAATAAAAGAATTCCAGAAAAGAAAATGTTATATTATTGAATTTAACACCATTGCTATTTGAATTTCGCCCCGTTACACGCCTGGACTCCGTGAAACGGAAACACTTATGGCGGCAATTATGCGAGTTTCCTAGATTCATCGCGGTCACGTGACCGAACAGAAGCAGAATTTTGTAACACGATACCGGAGGCAGGTGCGGGGCTGAAAAGAAACTCACTGTTTTCGAAATGAGCGCTTCTTCCGTAATCGCACGGTAACACACGCATACCCTGAAACGAGCTTTCATCACGCACCAAGAGAGACAGAAACCAGGATTTTCTTTGTTTTTGTTCGCGGTATCAGATACACTTACGGGGAAGAGGGAACGAAGACGCGTACGATTCACACGCTAATTCACCCGAGAACCGAGGATCGTTGGCTTTCCCCGCGCCACCTGTGCGCCTTCGTTCCACTCTCCTAACCCCCTGGGTTGTAACTGGAAGAAAAATATCGCGGCGTTTTATCATCGTCACTCGACGTAACAATAACAATGCAATACGCACTCTCCACAGAGGACAACCGTCCATCATCTTTCTATTCCATTTCCAACAGTACACGTTACTGGCATGAATATATAGTTTTTTCATCTGTGATCGAAGAGAAGCCTTAACGCAGCCCTAAGCCAATTACAATTTAATACCGAGACTAATTATAAATACAGGTGTCTTAATGAAATTTTTGAGAGGGGGGACGTATTACAGAACCTTATCAAACCGGCACAAACGTTGTTACTAACACGGGAATACTGACTCACGGACTGGAATAATAAAATTTTAAACATTTTATTTTAAGGAAAAAACTTTTTTCAAAATTTTGATAGTACAAGTTTGTAGAGCTTATTGTAACTTCGGCATATTTCGCGGAGACGAAAAAAAATATTTCGTGAAAGCGTTAGGAAAAAAAATGGTGACAGAATATAAAGACACCCTATATATGTATACACCATGCCCCGGATTGTAGAACGATTATTGCCTTCAACAATGCCGATCATCTTCGTACTGGGTGTGTATACGGCACACTACCTACGGAAGTTGCGTGAATTGATCGACGATTGTCAATGAAGCAACAGTGAAACACGAAAGCAATGTCTTAATCAGTCGTTCTTGATTCCTGTTTGTTATTTTTACAAAATAAACAAACCGTGCCACAATTGCCAATTGACACCTGTATCGTAACTCGAAACAGAGAATTTAAGTGTTAATCGTTCGAACAATGGAACAAAATGGCAGGGGAAGAAATTAAATTGTTCAAATGTTAAAAGTTCAAAAGAACCGTTCCACACTGGTTACGAGGAAATGAAGCGTTAGAAGACGTTCCACACAGTTCCGTAGGGTAATTTTCACGGCCGAAACTGACGTACATCATGCTCTCCTAACCTAATTAGTACTGAAGCGGTTACCAACGATTAAGACGTGAAAAGCCTTGAGAGGTTTATCTAGTTTCTGAATGGAAAAACTGCTGTCTTATTTTTCTTGACTATTGTAACGAACGTAATTTGCATCAGTAACGTCTCTAACAATATTAATAATTTCTTCCTCAAATTGCACTGTACACGTGAGTAACATAGATGAAACACGATTGTGTACCGGTATTTTACTCGAACATTCTGAGATTTGTAGAAATAAATCGAACGTAAGAAATTGATCTCTTTAATGATGGTACGCATGTATCTGAAGAAAACCGCAATACATATGTCCATATCACTTCTACCCGGTGTCAGAACAGGATACTTGAAACCACCGTTACTCACCATTAATTCTTTTTTACAGAACACACTCGTACTAATGGAAGTACATGGAATACGATCTAAGGTTAAAGAAATCGATACGAAAAGTTACGTATCTCTACTTCTAAATATACTGCAAACAAAAAAAAGAATACAAATAGCAGGAATTATTCCTTTGCTTCGAGAAAGACAGTTACAAAATATTAATATTTTTTGCTGAATATAAAAATGAAAATTGAATCGTGGTTGAACATATGTCTCATCACGCGCAGAACAGGTGAACAAATAACAGTAATACACATAATACGAATGCCTGGTTAACGTGTGAGACGTACATATGTCGCTGGACTTCTGTTGCCTTGTTAACCTCTTATTCGATGCTTCCTGCACGTTGTGTACGCGTAAACATAAACAGAGATACCACCGTCCATAGATATTCGAACACAGCAATTTCGGATATACAGCAACGTATATCGACAATACTGTTACTATTCCTCAACTGATAAAATCAATAGTTATATTTATCACATGTTCCACAAATTATGGATTGCAGTGTACCATGAACGCACCGCGACAGCCCGATGTCATCGTTCTCAAATTGACAACCTCGAAGCCTATTATCAAGCGTAGAATAGTTGGAACACAATACCGATTCTTTCAACGATTAAAATTCACGAGAATGTTACACGGTAGAAGTTATCCGAAAAATGATTGTTGTTCAATCTAATTTACACTAACAATTCTAAACCGAGTGTCACCTTCCTCAATTGCATAATAGCTATCCATAATCACCTGTCTCTCTCTCGATATACGCATATATCAAACGTAACAGTCACAGAAATCAAAATCACCAATAAGAAATTCAAACTTTTCCGGTAATGAACGATTGCAATATAAACGGTTACGTCTTTACCGCTGATTTTTTCACACTGATACACACACAAACGAATATTCGAACTGGTCGCAACAGAAAATGTCGACGACTGCATCGAATTGGGAGCATTTGTCAGAAATGGTGAAACTATTTCAACGAAGAATACAAGTTACTATTGTTACAGTAACAAGCATGCAGGAAATGAATCCAAAGGTATTTTGTAATTGGAGAAAATGTTACTTACCAAACCGGGAAACAGTAACGACACAGTCAGCACGAAGTCCGACACGCAACTGGCGCTGCGGCGCGTCAGTCCCATCGGATCGGCAATTTTCGTGGGTTTTCGGGCGTGCCACGCGAGCACACGGCAATCACCTGGCGTACCGAGGGAATTTAACCGCGATTGCTATCTGTAACAACAGGTGGTAACGAAAATTCAAAAACGTCAACCTGTTTACATGAATCAAGCCATATGTCATATGAATAATTGAAAAAAATGTATATAATTTTATAAGTACTTTATCGTGTTACAATGATGTTATACGTTGATGACATATACAATTGTGGGAAATAGTCTAGTTATGATTCTATAACGTAAACTGCAATTTCAAAGATATGAACTGTTCTTCCAAGGTCCCAGACATTTAAATATTCAAATTTGTACATTACTTCGAGTAATTAAGTTCTGTAATCATTAAATTTTCGATTACTGTGACAACGTTCTGAATTTTAAATTAGTTACCTTGAATATATTTCTAAACAGAAAACTATTATCGCCAGTATTTATGTCGTTTACATAAATAGTTATCGAGAGAATATTATCGAGGGAAAATATTATTTATCGAGAGAACATTCCTCTTTACGAAGTAGGTTACTGCAGTTGACGAAGCGGTGACGGTAATGTAGCGACACCTATGATAACCTGTATGAAAAGTTACGACTGGTAAAACAGAACATGGAAAGTACGTTATCTGTACCAAATTCGATCGAGGTAAGAATTGTTGAGAAACATTTGATTATAGTATTTTGTACAATTAATCTATCGGTTATTGAAACCAATGGTATTTATTTAAAATTCCCATTAAAATTCTAGAAGTACGACCTGAGGTCAACGTTTTAGAATGTACCCGATCAGACGAAGTTCGTTAACCTCGGATGGCTTGTAAACGCAAGGTGCGACCGGTACACGTCTCGATATGCAAGAAAAGCTAACTCCTCGTTTTATATCGACATAAAATGTTTCATTGCTATTTCTTCGGATGAAATACACGGAAACACGAGGCACGGATCATTGCGTGCTCTAAATGTTTGTTCATAGCCGAAGGTATTCCTTCCGTTTCGTGTTCTTTAGAAAAATAACTTTCCCGTTATGTACTTCCTTCTTCTGCGAAGAAAGATATGATGAAACCGTATTTCTTTGATAAATTTTATTCGCATCGATATTAAAATTAATTTAAAAAGATTTTATTTTCTTTATTAGAAGGTTGTCGTTAGAGTCATAATTTATTTACAATTCCTTTTAAATATGTACCTTCTTAGGTTCAAGAACGTTCACATTACTTTCTCATAGTAGGGTCTAAGGCCTAAGGAATGGAAGGAACAATGTAGAATCCCCTTCATCCTTGGCATTTAACTGAGCTTGCCAATTCTCCTTCAGTTTCTAATGGCATCCAACTATGAACTACAAACTCGGAAAATATTTTCACACACCGTCTTTTCGTTCCATTCTAACCTCTTTTGTTTCGATGCTTTCTGTTCAACTATCTATCTGAAGAATCCTTGACAATAGTACTTCTGGACTGACTATGGCTTTCTGCAATTCTTTTCAAAGCATGACATCCTTTCATAAGTAAAACACACAGTCACTTCATTAGAAAATCTTCAAGGATACATGCATGTCCTATTACATTAGTTCACTCACCACAGAGAGGGCGCCTTAACTAGGAAACACGAAAATGGTGAGGTAATAATAACCCAACGAGGTTATGACAGGTTCAGGTCCTGCAATTTTTTTTCTAAATTATACTTCTTCTTCGACCAGTTTTGCATAGTATGCATTTAATTTTATGTATTGTCCGAATTATGTTTGCACCATTCCCTATGTAGACAGATTTAATCATCGATCTAAATGTATCACGAAACAGTTATAAATAAAGATTGAATATATTAATTGCAATCAGTGGAAAATTTCGCGTGAATAAAAGTACTTTACTCTTATTAGAGTACGATCATCTTAACAATATCTATCGAATAGATGCATGTGTTCTGTTTACGACCCATTAACAATGTCTCAACTGAACACGATACGATAAACTTTACCCAGTTACATATCCAGAAAGATGAAATATTTCAAGATTACTTAAGAACGTTGATCCATAACATCGATTACCATACAATCGATAAAATATAAGGACTCCCGTAGATTCGATTAACGATTCAAGATCACTTGATGTCACAGTAAGGTAGCGGAGACCACTCGAAACACTGTAGGGGGTTAGATAAGCAAACATAATCGTGGGGATAATACGAGTGGCCCCTAGTGGACATTTAATTTTAACCTGACTTCACCGCATTCAATTTCTTCTCTCTGTTAATGGTGATTACATAAAAATCAAATACAAATCTTCTGTAAAACTTTACTCGTTTCGTTTCTTTACTACATTTTATCAATTCTTAGCAAGGTAGCAATAATATAAGACCAATACCTTCTTACAATTAGTCGCTAACTGCACTTTCTAAAGGTGCGTATCCACTTGTTGCGTATCCTCAGTGATACAATACGATGATACGCAACAAATGGATATACAGCTTAACACTGTTAACTTCATTCATCTGGAACATGAGAATTATATTTTTAATTCAATTGTAGCTTCCTTTGCTTTCTCTATCACCCTACTCTGGTTTATTTACAAAATCTGGCACACAACGTATAGTGGGTAAAACCTGCATTTGCATAGACCCACTTTCTAAATATAATTTTATAGATAACCTCAGTGACGTTATTAAAATTTGCATTTGCCTCGCAGATTTCTTACGTCCAACGAGCTTTCAAATAATGCAACTTTACTATTGTTCAAAAAATGCACTCTTTACTATTGGATATGGTTTTCGACCGACTTCAAAATACACTAAAAAGTAGAAAATAAATAATAAAAATAAAAATTATTTTGTACTTCTTAGCGCGTTTTGAAGTCGGCGCACATTTTTTCAGAAAATTTTGATTTCATTTTGTTCAAACATTAAAAAAGACCTAAGTGTGCAAATGGTTAAATGAAACACAGATCTTATCCACCGTTAGCCTCGTTTATGGTTACCGATATAATCCTCCTGAGGTCCCATTTCCGTGTGCAGTTTCTAACTGGCCCAATGAACAGCAACGGGGAAACTTTCTATTCTCAGGTCTATAAGGAAAATTCGCAAGCCAGGTACTCCGACGTCAGCGAAATTCCTTGTGACGCGTAGTCGTACACTTGGACGATTACCGGCGATCTATTCGCGCGAACGATTCGAATAAATCCATTCTTCCCGTTTAGATAATTCGCGGAGGATTTTCTGATCGCGCATTGGTAATTCCAATGTCAGCCGATGACGTAAGCTCCACCCACGAAATCGGACATTTATCGCGTTTATTGCGTCTAACGTGTAAGACACTTAACGGACGATGTAAGACCAAAAGTGTACCTGTCCGTATTTTAACGATACAAGACGACAGGTAAGAAAGGAATGAATAAAATGAAATTAAGAATTATTCGAAAGGATGAAACGTTACAAATGATAACCTTGAACTCTACGAATTATACCATGTTTACCTAAGTGCCATACACCTTACGGCATTCGAGCATATTCACGCATAACCAATAAATAACAGAGATATCTTGAATGATCACGTCAGATGGAAAGATCGCAATGGATAATTTAGCGATTACTAATTGTACGCCGTCAACTACGAACAGCCATTAAGCGTTCGTATTTCGAAGCCGATATTATTGCGTTTCGCAGATTCAACGTCCATTATAAGTATGACCGTGGTAATAGAATAATTGCGAACAATTCACCGTCGACGAATGACAAAACCGTGAAATCCAATTGCCGGATTGAGCATTAAACCACAGACGAGATACATGAATACTCCAGGAGGAATTTATCGTTTAAGATTATTGGTGAACGGTTTTTACAACGACAATGCATTTCGAGCTTTCTAAAAGTAGAATCGCCTGCGGCGAGGAAACGCATCCCGTTCGGTTTCTTTTTCCAGTTCGTCCTTCTCATCGTTGCCGTCTGTCGCTGCGTTTTTCGCAACCGTAATAAATACGAGCCGTTCACTGGCCAAAGCGACGTAACTGCAGTTCTTGAATTTTTTCCAATTTTCGTGCCAAAACAGCATTTGATTGATGCTTAATTTTTTGTATCTGAAACTTTTAAACCTTTAACGCCCAGACCCTTAAATCGTTAGCGAATTTTTTTCTATACAACATATACAATCTCGATAATTCTTTCCTACATTTATTAATCTGTCTTTAGACACTAATTTCCCATTTTTACATAGTAAAAATAGTAATAGTACATAGTAATAGTCATACAAAAGATTGTTTTCTTTCTATAGGAGGTGCTACGTTGCACACGGTAAGCGACCTTTCTTTAAGGAGCCTACATCAGTACCCTCTATATCAAGAAAATCATCTTTTGCATGACTGTAATATAATTGTAACTGTATATAATTTTCCAGATGTAACGTATACGATATGCTGGGCGTTAATGGGTTAAGTATAATATAACTTTCGCGGATTTAATCGTTTTGGCAAATGAACGACTCCACGTATCTCGTTTCCTTGCGTGGTCAGCGATACGCGATGTAAATGGAAGAAAAAAGGTAATCCGAGCGACGGAGCAACCGCACACGCAGACTGCAACGATGGTGACGAGAATCCACAACGGATCGTAATCATCGAGAAAGAAAGAGAGAATAATTTATGACGGCATAATACTCGCCGTGGCGTTGGTATTTCATTCAGTCGAGATGATAATATATAATTCATCGTCGCGAACGATATTTGAATGGTAACCGACATTCGAATTGGAATTCTGTTGTTAAGATCAATGATTAGGGGGGGGGGGCATCGTGAATGAATTTTTACTAACAATAAGACTGAATATTGTGTCCGAAGTGATTCGAAAGTTGAAAGAAATACAATGGCCGCTTATTTATCAAAATGGCACCTAATCTCGAAGACGAAAAATTATTTGTCTGTCCTCTTCACATATGTACATACATGTACCTATATGGTGTAATGGAAATACA